CCCAGCAGGGCAGGAGGGGTGTGCGGAGCAGCTCTGTATGGCCCTCTCACCGTGTAGCGAAGCGCTCTTCCATGGCTGGAAGGAGACCCTGCTCCTGCCTGGTGCCGGTTGACTGAGAGGCAGGGCAGATCATGCCTTTCCTAACAGCTAGAGGGAGAGCAGTGTACCCCAGCCCCCAGAGCCTCCATGGTCCAGCAGCCAGAGGTCCACAGCCCAACAGCGGCCTGGTGGTTGGGAACTGCTGATCTAACACCTCTGATCACTGTAAGAGAAAGATCAGAGAAAATCAAAATCTCTCCTTTTCAGCAGGTTTACTCTACTTTTATCAGCACTTCACCTATGATCAGCTTTGCAGATTTACCTTCTCATTCACTTTTCCATCTCAGCTTTTTCCCCTCTCACACAATGTGGCAGTAGCAAAAACCTGAAAAGCTTGAACTTTAGCTTAACTTGATCTTGATTGAAAAGCCCATTCTGCACAGACACAGCACAATTGCTTTAGCATCATTTGACCGTGTCAAGTTACAGCTGAAACACGATCCGAACATCAGACTAAGCGTGTAGAACGGTCTACATCAGTGTTTAGTGTTTTGGTCTGTTTGTGATGGGGGGAGTGGCAGTAAGAGGGGTTTTCAATCAAGTTAAACCAGCTACTTTTCCTAGTTTGAGTGAAAGAGACTAGATTTGAAAATAAGTGTCTTTTAAAACATTCAATCCTCTGAGAGACTGCATCTCAGAATAAAAAGTGTTTGAAAAAGTCTGTCCTCCCCCCAGCTCAAAAAGGCAAGTGATTTCACATGTTGGTTGTAGACAATTCAGTAAATCCTTGTTATTAAATAGAATAATAACCTTTTTTTTTAAAAGTGTCTGACTAGAACACAAATAATTAGTGTTTCTAAAAAGCAGACTGGATTTCCCAGCTTCAAGGAGAAATGGTAACATACAAGGAGCCAGAGGGATATATCCCTAATCAGCTATAACATGGAGCAGACTGTAACCATCTTTCTCTATAAATACGTTGCCAGACTACAAACCCCAGCATCTTGATCTATGAGGTAGGCTTATGGATTGAGATGGAGCATATGGAATCTGCCATCACTGAACCATCACATACCCCTTCATCACCGCTATGAAGGATGAGGGCATCTGTGAGCTGCCCTCTGTTCATTCCTTGCTCCATACTCAGAACCACATTACTCAGTAAAATGCACTTTTCTGGACAACTCCTTGCAGTTCTAGCAATTTGAATCTTTCCGCTGGAGGAGCTCCAAAGTAGGCTCTCTGCTCTTCTGAGTATCGTTCCTTCACTTCAATGATGTCCCTGTAGCTCCAGTCCCGCCAGTGGAAATTGAATTTCTCCAGCAGCTCTATTCGCTTCTCCTCTGAGGCCACACAATCAACAGGGGCAACTTGCTCCAGGAATGGCACCTGAACATCTGGGAATATGAGAAGACCTCGGATTGCAAACCAGCCTCCGTATTGGGGATGAATACAAACACCATAGATCTTCTGAAAAGAAAGAGAACTGGTATGAGAGTCACTGTTTTATTTCCGGGGTTAGCCTGTCTCTAGCAGTGCCTAGTTTCTGGCACTTGGAGAGAACCTCTAATGCACACAACCAACTCATGAAGCTCAGTACGAGCAAGAAAGATGATTTTCCTCCTTATACTTGGAAGCATGCTAGATTTGATTCCCCTTATTTTGTTCATGCACATGCATGCGGACATAGCCCTCTGCTCACATCCTCCAAACATGATGTGCTAGAAAGTGGATCTTGTGAGCCTCTTGTCAGAATTCCAAAATAAAAAAATTGAAGACACTCAAGTAAAACTTGCACTAAGGATTGCAGGATTTAGCCCAGATAAATGGAAAAGACCTATCTGGTTCTCTAATCCATCACTTCTGTCCTCCACCTGGATTTTTCCCTATGCCACATTTCCCTGTGCTTTTGTCTAATCTAGATTTAGATGTCCCAAGAAATTGGTCTTCCTCTTTTTCCCTTGGAAGTTAATAAATCTCATTAATCAGGACATTTCCCCTCCAATTTAGCCTACATTTTCCTCTACTCAATGTAATCTCTTCTCACCTAGTTATGCCCATTGTCCCACTCCAAAGAATTACCCAATTCCTTAGTAGACACATTTCAAATAACTATCATTTGCACTTCCATCATCTCCCCGAAGAAGAAATCAGTGAGTCAATAGAAGTTTTACATTCTGTTGCTTCAGAGAGGTTCTTTGGGCTGTAGTTTGTATCTCACCTTTTCTCCCCAGGGATCACACTTCACATCCTTCCTCTGGTAGTAGTATGCTGCTCCGGCCACATGGGCAGCTGTTTGTGCCAGAAACTTGGGCTTCCTGTTTGGCAGGATCTCATAATCATAGATAACATCCATCCTCTGATCAGAAAGATTCTGGAGAAAGAAAAGTATCGACCCAGAATTACTGAAAAGCATGAATTTGAAGCACTCTCTCTCCCTTTCCGACCCTATAGTGACAAGTGCATTACTAATGAGTTTCATTCACTTATAAGTGAGTTAGTTCGTATGTCCCTCTCCTTGTCCCTTCCCATAATAGAGCTCAGTACATCTAGTGGACACCAGAGAACTGGGAAACTTCTGACTGATTTTATTTTTTTAATAGAATCATAGAATCCTAGAACTGGAAGAGACCTCAGGAGGTCATCATGTCCAACCCCCTGCCCCCTTTTATGAAAAGTTATCTGTGATTCAGTATCCCCTCTTACCTTGTATTGTAACCTACCAGGCATGGGATTAATAGCTTCTTTAAATCAGAACAAGCAATGCAGTAGCAGGTCAGACCTCACAAAAGCATGAACAAACTATCAGCCAGGTGACTTGAACTATCAACCTGTGAACTTGAACTATAGTGTAAGCATATGCAAAGATACTATTAGCTTTATAAATATGTACTTGTCTGAGCTGGGGGCATGGAAATGGCAGGAGTTTCTAATCTAGAGGAACTAAAATCACTGGAGGGCAATTAATGCAAATCCTTGGGCAAGTAAACAAATCTGGAGAGGCCGCCCTGGGGGAATGACATATCCTGGTATAAATGATTGAAGGTGGCTAGCAAACAAAGAAATGAGAATAGCTGTAACCAGCCTCTCAAGGGGAGTGGTCATTCTCACTACATCCAGGAACTGATAGGAGACAAGGGACAGAAAAAGTCTGAACTAAATACTTTGAAATCTACCAAGGTCTTATGTGGTAGACACCTGGTAAGTGTGCGTGTAAGCCATTACACATCTGTCCTGTTTTCTCTGTAAAGCTTTCTATGCTTTATTGCTGTTGTTCTGATCAAATACTCCGCTTTATTGAGGAGAGCTGGTCACTGATTAACACTGTCATTGCCTTCCAAGAACAGGTCTACAAGCTGCACTGAAGTCAGACTTGCTAAGCTGATCAGGGTGAATTGCAGGAAAAATAGAAATCTAAATCCCTGGGCTCACCTGAAATTAAGTTAGCTTCTGCAGCGGAAATGCTAGCCTCCCAAAAATGGAGGATTAAGGTGACAAGGATTATAGAGGAAGACCTGCAGTCTTCCAGTACTGTATCACTGAATTACATTTAAAGATACTGATGAACAACCCCTGCAATATGATTAATTAGCGATATTTAGCAGGAAAGTTTTAAATTATTTTTGTAAATCTCCATCCTGAAATCTTCTGGCACTCCTTGATCTCTGAAGTCATAACGTGGGGTGTTGCCTATGTAGTTCTGAGGATTTACAATGTCTTGATTGGGGTGTGCAGTGGGTGTGGAAGTCGAAAGAAAGGCTCTGATGACCTCTGTCAGCAAGTTCCCTGCTGTATTTATGGAGGTATTTATT